GGTAGGCGAAGGTGGATAGTGGTGCAGAACGGTCGGAGAATGGCGTGGTTTAGGAAATTTTCTACCTCCCAAATCTATAATTGGAAGTCATGATAATGATTGATTAGAGCTATTTCACAAAATGTATTATGAAATCAATGTTTTCCAAACCAGTTATTCGTAGCGCAGTTATTACCGCTTAAATTTAAAATTAAATCGATAGCTGGACTGCGATGATGTTGTTGAGTCACTGACACATTTGTTATCCAACTAATGAGAAAGGTTCTCTCACTTATTACAGACAATTGCCGGTACAAATTGATTGCCGCAAAGAATATGTTCTCACATCGATACCTGCTGGAAAATACATACAATGTTTTTCTAAATTGCTAATGACGAGAATCAATAAACGATATTGGAATTTTTCAAACGCAAATTTTATTATTTTAAAACTTGTTTGACCTGCAATAATAATAATAATTAGAAATTATTTCTAACTGAGCGAATACATTTATTCGAATTTTATCTCGGTATTTACCACGGATTTGCATCACCCTTCTGAATGTAAAACATTTCTTCAATGTGCGTAAATTTATTTATTAAAAACAAAATGTTTGTAAAAGCAGTATTTATACACCACTTTAAAAAGTATGGCAGATAAACAGCTTCCGTTTATTTTAAAACATGATGACGTTTATTGCAAAATAAATACATTGTAATACGCGCCCTTACGCAACACCTCTTCTACCCACCATTCTAGCACATTAAAATAGCATTACTCTTCACATTTTTGTTTGAAAGGAGGCCCTTGTGGTTTTTGGAATTATACGAATTTGGAACGGGTCTATATACTAATCACCGCCACTACGCTAAACTTGTTCAAAGCTCTATTTTATGGAATAACAATTGAATTAACAATATTTTTGTATAATGGTACCTGCAATTCAAATACTGAATCAGGATAATCAACATGATTTATTGTTATTTTAAACGGGTAGGTAAAACTTACTAGACGCTATTTGGTTTTATGACCTAGCGTCTTCAAGTTGAACATTTTAAATATTATTGATGACCTTCGAATAGTTGTATCAGATGGAAGAACTCCCAGTTTGCATTACAGATGAAGAAATCGAAAACCAGAACAGTTTGGGACAGAAAACCAATATAAATTTTTGTAAGAAGAGGACGATTTGCATACGTTTTCATAAGAACTATATTTGTTTTCACGAGGAATCTATTTCAACAAAAGTATATTTATTTCAGAAACTATTACAGATGAAACGTTAAACTTAACATTATTTAAATCAACTAATTAAACGCATTATATGGATACAAATGATCATTAATGAAATAAAAGCACTTGTATATTTTTTCAACTTTCAAGATTTATTTGTTGTTTTAAACCATTTGCCTCAATAAAATATATATAATCATGTGTATATTGAAACATTATTTATCAAAAATTTCTCGTTCATCTCACAAGCAGTTTCTCTGAAAACTTAAGACCAAATATCTAGTTAATCATAAAAAAACTATTCCAAAGTTTTTTTAATATTCTTTAAAACAAAAATAAGCTATTATATCTCTTCAACAGGATTACTATATATTAATATTAATATATTAGTTTCAGAGAAAAACACTTGGTTCTTGTGTAATGCACAGTACACGTATCTTTTACCCACAAATGTTTCAATATCGAACCCTAGAATATTTATAATCCAATCATTTACGTTAATAGTTGATATGATACTTTCAGATTGAAAAAAAAATCTTTCTCCAGAAAAGGGTAATTACGTAAAATATATGTTCACCTATCTCTTGCTCATGCGAGAGATACACGCATTGAAAACTTGGACGCTTCTTCCATGCCATCTGGTGCAACGTAAATTGGGGCCAGCGGTGCCTGCCGTGACGTAGGTAGTCGCACTCTCGTCCCTCCGCCTCCCCTCCCCCTTACATAGGCGCCCGGCGCGCGAGTTACGCAGCAAGTTCCTCCGCGAGATGAAAAGGTGGGCGGCAGCTGCGGGCGACGGACGGGGCGAAGGAGGAGGAAGAAAGAAAGAAAGAAAGAAAGGGGCGGGTGGGAGTATCGAAGGAGTTGTCGCAGAGCCTGCCGCGTTGTTCCAACCGAAGCCCATCCATATTCAGAAGCCCCAGGAAGCGGCCCCGACGCGCTGCCGCAGGGCAGTGGCGGGGCCCCTGTGCGCAGGCAACCCCGCACGACGACAATGTATCAAGAAGCTGCGTTCGGAGCTTTGCGCCTTCAATCCGCGAAAGCACCCGCAGCGAAAAAGGTGTTTTTCGACTTTGGATTTTATTAGTACTTAATGTGATTCATGAAATGGACATATTATAAGACGTTAAATTACTAGGTGTACGTATCTTTTTATGTTGGCAAAGCTGTTGATATTATTATGAAATGGTACTGCCGTTGGCGTAGAAATGACCGTTGAGGGGGAGGTAATTTTGCAATGGTATCATATTTCTTTCCGTAAAGATGTCCATCATTCTTAGCTATTCCTGATTATTATATTTACACACTCCTGAAATCTGAGCGAATATTCATAATACATTAAACGAATGTCCAACTACTTTATGGTATGTCGTGTTATATTATTATCATTAGTAATACCAGAAAAAGGGCTGTGATAGCCGGCAAATTCACGACTCGCGTAGCGAGAAATATAGCGGAATCGAATGGATAATTAAAATACCAGGAATTGCGAAAAAGAGAAATATTACGAAATATGTGACACATTTATTGAGCTCCGATTTGTCACTGCCTCCTAAAATACGTTATTATCAAGTAAAATATGAACAACAGTTTCATGTTCAAAATTATTTGAATTATATTTCGAATTTATGGTAATAAAACTTTCAAAAAACGAAAGTAACAAAGCTACTTTCAAGAACATTTATTAAAAACACAATCATTAAAGTTGTAGGAATTTGAGTTTTCCATGTCTTGGTATTCCGTGGGCGTATTTCAAATGAAAGATATACAAGCTGACCTAGCAGCGAGATTCGCCTAGTTTCTTTGGATTGAATACACGTGTGTACTCCTTAATATAGTTTTCTGAATAATTTTTGTTGTAACGTTCCACATAGTTTTGATAGCATATTGTTTGTCCCCTTTTACCATCTTTTTTGCATATTAATTGCCTAACAGATGTGTAGTTACTTCATTTGTAGTTCATGTTATCCATTTTTATTTTCTTTCTTCACAAAATCCATGAAATTGCTTCCACACACTTTCTCAGTTTTCTTTGCTGTTTTTCGTCACTGAATCTTTAATAATAAACTCTAGTTCAGAACTTTAGACCTCAACACGTCATATATTTTAATATTAAATTGATGCTCATAAACTATGATGGACCTCAAACAATTGCTAACGATAACATAAAAAATGTAAACGTAGTGATTACATTGGAGAGAAAAAGGTAAACAATGTCATAAATTCGCATCGATAAAATCTGGGATTGATTTAATTTTAATATATTATTGTTTTCATTTGCTACTTACGTCAGGGACAGACTTTAGTGAAACGGTCATCTCAAAATACTCCAAGCTTTTAATGCAAGTACATTATTTTTATTCCCATTCTGTTGTAGACGGAAATCATATTTTTTGAAATGTATTTTTACTAACTTTTCTCTCTCCGCAATATTTCTTTTTAAATGCCCACATCCTCTATAGAACAATATTTTTATTTACAATTCTCTTTGGGACAATAATTTATTTCATTACATCAAAGGAAAACAAAATGCGTATGGATGCAAGTTTATTTATTTATGAAATAATTATTAATAATAACCGCAGTGTTATTTAGAGCGTGCATGTTATTTATTACTCGCGATATCAATGCGCAACTCCATTTATTTTAACTTCAGCATTACAAATGTAACACCAGGATGTTACGAAATACGAAATCCTAAAAACATATTACGACTGTAAAGTAGTGAAGAGTTCGGAGTCGATTGAATTTTACCATATTAAAATTAAATTTCGGATCAATGTCATCTTTACGAATTGATGGGAATATTTAGGCAAGTATTCTAAGTTGGTGTAAAGGAATTCTTCAGCAGAAAATTAGTTTGGAGAGAAATAAATATTATTTGAAAGTAAAGTTGCAACGGAATTAAAGACCTTATTTAGATTGGCATGTTTATTATGAACCCTTAAGCTGTCACGCGAGGAGTGTACAATACATATTCTCTTTGAATTCGTTTTGAAAATCCGCGACGATTGCATGGCTATGTTTTTATATACCTTCTTAAAAGGCGTTTTAATCTCTTTACGTAAAATGAGAAAACATTCCTGTGCAAATTTTCCTATAAATTGACCATATTATAGTTACAGGGTGGTTTTAGACTCTGGGTTAGACACTTCTGTTCAGTCTATCACAAAGTATTTTCTTTAACCTAGATTACAAAAGTGCTCTGTACCAAATATTTTTACAGAAAAAAATCATTTTTACAATGAAACACTAAAACTAATGGATTGGATATGTATGATTTGGAGTTACAAAATACATTTAAAGGGATACATCTAAATGTGTCGACTCTCACAGCAGACACTTGCTTTGTGCTGTGCTCGCATGGCGTTTGAGAAGCGTACGCAGAAGTATCTCGCTACGCGACCTTTGTTGTGATCACCATCGTCTTATTATGATTGCTAAACGTTCATAACAACACTTAAATGCTTCAAGTCAAGGATTGTGTATTCATTACTTACAATATAAGCCAATAAAGAAACAAAAACAATTCTAACGTAACTTCAAAGACGTGTTCTATTAGACGCCGTGTTGTTAAAATGGCGTTAACCGGAAATACGCACGTAGACAACGATAAATGTATATTGGCGAGTCACACAATGAACGTACACAGTCTTTCAAAAATAGAAAGTGAATGGAGGGGTGGGAGAAGCTTTCAGCACTAGTTGCGTGTACTGACAGCATCACCATCTAGCTGGCGACTGCTACTGTATTGCTAGCGTTAATGGCCGTTCGCTCTCGTTCGCAGAACAACCTGCTTCCTTCGGGCGACAAGTCGGTGGAGGGCTTCAGCATCACCATCGAGCAGGCGACGCGTCACCACGCCGGTGTCTACGAGTGCACGGCGTCCAACGGCGTGGGGGAGCCTGTGACGCAACGCATCACCCTGCACGTGCAATGTGAGTTATTGTGATTTTACGGTCTGAAAAAAAGCATTTGCATGTCCCTTGCCGTTTGTTGATTCAGTCACCGTTTTATGAATGTAGGGATTATAAATTAGTTTGATTGAAGTAATGAACGGGGAATGATGAGGCGCAAATAAAAAAATTGCAATGTTTATTAATACGCTCGCTAATGAATTTTATTCGTTTGAACTGTCATTGAACTCCTGTATCAGCTAGCATTTTGGCGGAAGTAATTAGAAATATCAAGTTAAGGATCTCCGTCTGCATCAGTGGTTGATGCCATTTCTGTTTTAACTCGAGTGTTGAGTAGCACCAGTAGTCAAGTAGTGATAGTGGCAGCGAGAGACAGCAACACACACTCAAGACAAAAGACGAAAAATTTAGCCTTGAATAGTAAAAATGTGTGTAGTGCGTCTTTATTAGTCATTTATCACCACAGGATTTGTTTTGTTATGTAGGTGCATTGTTCTAATGAACAACATTTACGGTACGGTACGAGCACGAACGGGCACAGTGTAACAAAATTCGCAATATTTAGTAATTTACTTAATTTAAACACCTCTATCATCTCAATGTCGCTTGATGTATATTTATATAACACAAACGCGTTTCCTTCGAGATCCTGTGTCAGAAGCGACGGATTAGTAGCAACAGCAGTACTTCTGCATTATAATAGTCTGGCAGGTCGTGAGTTTTGAGTCCCGACTGATGTATTTTTGACACTAATCAGAGCAACGGATTCAACCTCTCGTTGGAAGAGACTTGTATTTATCGACTGGCCTGCTCCGTAGTGTACCGAATCTTTTTTCGATTAGTACGGGGCAAATGCCGGAGCGGCACCGCATACACACGGGTCAGAGACCGCATGTAATTTGTCTTTTTTCATTCTTGTCCCGTCCTCATATGCATTGCCACAAACAATACTTACACACTACATTTGTATAGAGATTTGGAGACCAGGCTGGTGCTTTCGTTGTCCTGGTTGCGAGAAATTCCTGTTGGGAGAGGTATCTGGAAGATTAAAGCCCACAAGCTTGCGTTTAGGTCAGCGTCCGATCTTATGTTCCAGTAAAAGAACATTGTAATTTCATGTTATAGAACATTCACTACTCTTCCAAATTCTAGTAAGCTTAAGCGCCAAAGAAACGTACATGTTTACACAGTCGAGCTCCTTCGCTGACGGGGACGGGGCTTGTAAGCCCCAAGAGACCAGGAAAGGAGAAAATTTATTTCCTCGAAGTGTGTTGTACGACGCACCGATTAAACATGCGTGGGCCTCTAACAAAACACACGCTTCATGGTCTCTTCTTTCCCGTGAGCTCGTCTCCTCTCCTTGCAGGAGCGCGGCACACCTGCGGGTGAAAGTAGCGCCCTACCTCCCGTCGCCCGGGGGCCCGCCGCCCCCGTGCCTCGACTCTCTTCGCCTCGCGCGCCCTCTCCGCTTGGCGGCGCGCAAAATCCGCCCCGTTGTCGCCTAGCACCGCGCCGCGCTCTGCTCGCCCGCCTCTGCCGCCTACATACTCTGCCCGCGCCGGCCTTCTCTACAGCCGTCCACCGCCTATTTGCCCTGACTGCTTCTGCCCGCCTGCCTACAACGCCTGCCTACCAGTGCTGCCCGCATCCTGCCGCGCATCCGCCCGCCATCTGCTCACCATCCTGCCCGTCCATCCTGCCGCCCGCCCGCTCAGCTCTCACTCTCCCCCCATCCACTCCCCCGGTACCCCCCTCCTCCCCCTTCCCGCTCTTCCCTCCTCTTGCTCCTCTCCCCTCCGCTCTCCCCCTCGCGCTCCCTCCCGCTCTCCCTCCCGGCTCTCCTCCCTCTCCGTCTCCCCTCGTCTCCCTCCCTCCCTCCGCTCTCCCCTCCGCGCTCTCCCCTCCCCTTACCCTCCCGTCCTCCCTCCGATCTCCCCTCTCCCCTGCTTCCCCCTCCGCTCTCCCCTCCCGCTCTCCCCTCCCGTCTCCCCCTCCCCCGCATCTCCCCCTCCGTCTCTCCCCCTCCGTTCTCGCTCCCCCTTTCCGGCTTCCCCTCCCGCCCCTGCCGTTCCCCTCACCGCTCTCCCCCTCCCGCTTCCCCTCCGCGTCTCCCCCCCGTCCCCCCCGTCTTCCCCTCCCGCTCTCCCCGTCGCCGCTCTCCCCCTCCCCCCGCTCTACACCTCCGCTACCCCCTTTCCGGCTCTCCTTACCCCCACTTTTATCCGCTACTCATTAGCCGCACCGTTCTCTGCTGCCGTGCTATCCCCACTTCGCGACCTCGGCGCTTCACTCTCGTTTGCGCCCGCCTCGTCTCTGCATGGTCTCCCACCACCGTGGCATAAACTGGCGTGCAGAACATGACATAGCAAGGGAGTGAAGTGCAGGAAAGCAGAAATGAGAAGAAAGGAAGGCAGGATTGAGAGAGAGGAGAGGGAGGGAGTGTTCTGTGGAAGGTTACGCGTCGCAGTGCCACGGAGACGAAGCGCGCGAGTCGTCGATGAAGTGGATGATAGAGAGGAAGTCAGGGAGGCGAGAAGAGAGAAGCAGGTTAACGAGAGAGCAGACGGAGGGAGGGAGGGAGGTGACAGGGCACTGCAGTCAAGCGCGCAAAAAGCGAAGAGCGGCGAGAGATAGAGGAAACAAGGGACTGGCGGGCCAGAGAGTAAATATCACGTCGTAAAACAGGAGATTGAGGGGAGTTTGAAGTGAAGAAGGGAGAGTGGAAGCGGAAATGTTGAAGGAACGGTACGACGGGCGTGGGAGTGCAGAGCAAGCAGGAGAAAGGAAACAGCGGGGAAAGGGGGCTGGAGGAAACAAGGGAGCCGGAGAGAGACGAAGGCGGTGAGAGGATGTGACAAGTGACTAGTAGTGGAGGTGAGACTTATTAGGAATTCTCCTCCATAACGGCGCGGGGTAAAGGGCGGGCAGGGTCGCACACAGGAACCAAGCTAGTAACGGAATCTAGACGAACGAAGAAAGCGGACAGAGGAGTGGAGAGCAGGCGCATGGAGGGACCGGACAGAGGACTGAGGAGAGGTCAACCAGGGAGAGAGAGGTAGAGAGGGAGCGCTAAATCCCTGGAAGAGTGAGTAAATGTGGCGTGAAAGCAACACATGGGGGTAAAGAAGTAGACAGCGGGGGCGAAGAGGCGGAAGGAAAGGAATGAGGGAAGGTGTAGATAGGGGATGAGGGAAAGTGTGGGAAAAACAGAAAGTCCCTTTCTTCGTAAATGGAGGCAACGTTACAAAAGCTGGAAAGGGTTGGGCGCAAAGCCAGGGGCTGTGTGAGACAGAAATGACCTTCCTAGAGCATGTGAAAACAACACAGGGAGGCGCGAAGGAGTGCGAAAAGGAAATGAGGCAAGCAAATATGGTTTGACCCATATGTACGAGTACTAACGTCCTAAGACATAAAATGGACACGTGGCAATAACAGCATTTACGCTGCCTCCCCATCGACTCTGACTGGACGATTCTGGGGTTTGAGTCCCATTGAAGGTGGATTTTTGCCACTATGTAATTCTCGAGGTCAAATTCCTCCACTGTCTGAGGGATAACTCTAGCTGCCAGCTGTTCTGTTTCGTAGTTTCTTTGATAAATAACTAGCTACTTTTTCCATTAAATTGATTGTAAAATTACGTACTATCAGTGCGCTATTAGTTCTTATTTCTTATATATCGGTAGACTATTTTGAAAACTTTTACATATATTGCAGGAAACGGTCGCATAGTCTATTATTTGCCTTACCGTCTTATGAAGGAAATTTTACAGTTGAGTTCAGAGAGATAATGTAACGATATGTAAATAATTTTGAACTTTTGATCGTCGTTTTTTTTCTTCATCGTCTTTTCGTTCAGGACAACTGAACACTAGATGAAAATATACATTATCCGTTCTAAAAATTAGTATTCTCCTTGTTATTCACATTTAAAAAGAAATTCTGGGCGATAATATCTCAAATTACTTCAAATCATTTTTAGATATACATGTAAATGTTGCGATTTGTTCTATTTAGTTATAAACTGATCTCACGAAATTTCATGAAATACCATTGGAACCTAAAAACGTTTGTGTACGAATCATAAACTACCGAATTCGTGCATCTCATTGTCGTGTACGTCTTCACTCGCCGACTCGCGTACACGTTCACTCACCGATGCGCGCATGCGTTCACTCACCGATTCGCTTACCTGCAACGCGCTGACCGCTTGCTGCGTCCCCTCTCGCCCAAACAGTGCGGCAATAATTTGATTGACGAGATTGTTTATTTATGCGAGTTTGTTTGAAACATCCCACATGGCGGTGTGAAAATGTGGATATCGGCAACAAGCTTCATACAAATTATGAATATCCCTTTCCCCGAGCTGTGGTGTAACTCAGCCGTTGATCCAAATTAGAACAGACAGAACAACACACTAGATCATACAATAGTCGGATATTTACGCTTTTATTAAATTGGATTTTTTTGAAAAATTGATAAATAATGAAGAATAAGATAATTAACATTTAATATAGGTATATTAGATATGCTGTTTTATGCTCAAATTTTCTTTCTATTAAAAAATATTGTGCCACCTTCTGATTTTCAAAACACACCGTCTTCCACCTGTAAATGAACAAAATTATATACTTTATTCAACACTTACGAAACATTTACATAATGCATTCATTAATAATATGTTTAGGCAGAATATATCGAAGTTTAAAAACAGGTATTTGTAACCAAACTATTTACGATTAAAAGTACCGTGTCCACATGAATACCCCTATGCAAGGCAAATCTCTGCCAGTTTGAAAATCTTTCTCCCCTCCGGAAATATCTTCAATGAATAACTGCCTGGCCGGCCCCAGCGTTCTCTCTATGGAGGCGGTCACACAACGCTGGAATTAATCGGCTTTACGACAATAAATAGCCGCATCACTCGGTAATCTTCATAAAAATTACACCCGCGTCAGCGAAACATCAAAACGGAACCCGCCATCGGGGGAGGGGGCGGGGCCGGGCGGAGCGGGACACGCAGC